ACAGCAGTGTGTCCTTGTGGCCAGGAGAGCAAATGGTCTCCTTGGGTGCATTAAGAAAAGTGTGTCCACAAGGGAGGTCCTGCTCCCCCTCTACTCTGCCCTGTTGAGACCTCAGCTGGAGTATTGTGTCCAGTTCTGGGCTCCCCATTTCAAGAGGGACAGAGATCTACTCGAGAGAGTCCAGCAGAGAACTATGAGGATGATTGGGGGACTGGAACTCCTGCCTTATGAGGAGAGACTGAGAGACCTGGGGCTGTTTAGTCTGGAGAAGAGAGGACTTAGGGGGGAATCTAATTAATGTGTATAAATATATGAGGTCTGGGTGTCAAGAAGAAAGGGACAACCTCTTTTCACTTGTGCTCTGCAGTAGGACACAGGGCAATGGTCACAAGCTGGAGCACAGGCAGTTCCACCTCAACATGAGGAAGAACTTCTTTATTGTAAGGGTTCCAGAGCACTGGAAGAGGCTCCCCAGGGAGGTTGTGGAGTCTCCTACCTTGGAGACTTTTAAGCCCCTTCTGGATGCATTCCTGTGTGACCTGCCCTAGACTAGATGGTCCTGCTCTGGCAGGTGGGTTGGACTCAGTGACCTCTGGAGGTCCCTTCCAACCCCTAACATTCTGTGATAATAAATAACCTGTTGCAGGACACTCAATCCATTACATCTTAGGTTATGTTGGTGTGTTGTTTTGAGCTCTCAAACTTTTATTTTTGACTCTCTTGTCTCACCTCAGTATCTTCATGGTTATGTCACTGTATAACAGAAAAAGTTATTGTAGATGTAGAGGGAAAATTATTTTCTAATTCTCAGCTTCAGAAATAGCATATCATTGTCAGACAGCTTAGGCAGTACGAATTTATCATCTCTTCTTTATTATCCAATTCACTAGTTTTGAAATAACTTTCAAAGTTAAATGCTTTGATGTTAAAATATTCTCTTCATCTAATAAAGCCAAGCTCTATCAGGATTTGCATGTCCCACTTAATTTGATCATACTTTCTGGTTTGGGGCGTGTATCTTATTTTGTTCTTTGAAATGTAAAGCTATTCCTATTTTTGTGAAGTTTGCTGATAATTGCTTTATCAGTCCTTGTTTGAGGGCTACTTCATGTTTTAACATGGAAATTTCACTGATATGTTAGGTATAATGTATCTGTTCAAAATGCTAAATTATAGATCTAATTTACGCTGTATATATTTATAAAATTTCTGGATTACTCATGAATTACATTTTGGGATAGGGGAACAAATCAACCATCATATTTGTTTCTTATGTCCCAGTAAAACAGATCTAAGAGCACACCTATGAATCTGGTACACTTTTATTTGAGGGACTAAATACGGATCAGATTATTCCATCAGAGGTGTACTTACATTTGTACTTATTGCTGAGGAAATTCTGCATTCCTTTCAAATTACAAATAAAATGAACTGACAATTTTAAGCGTTTGTGTTGCTGATGTTTTTGTGGTAGCTCTCCTTGAATTGCCCATACGATTGCTGTTTTCTGCTTTTGTTTACTTTCTGATCATTAAATTGTGATGCTCTAAAATGAGTCACCTGTATGCTTGTGGAAAAGTCTATTTTAGCTGGCACAAATTCTTTGCTAATATTCAAAATAGACTTTTTTCCTAATGCATTGTAAGATTTTACTTGCAAACCAGGAAACGCCATGTATGGAGACACCTAGTGTTCCAGCTGTACAGAACCACTTTCTGCTGTCTGCTTTTACAGGTTCGGTTTGTGAAGAATGTGACTTCCTGGAAGGAAATGAAACCAGGATTTTACCATGGACATATATCTTATTTGGACTTTGCAAAGTATGTTACCCTTGGTTTTATCTGTTGAGTAGTGTAGTAGTTCAAGCGTGGCTCCAGCTGGGCTATTAATGCCCTCTAGTGATGCAAGCCTGACAACTGCAGTTTTGAAAAAGACTGAAATTCCTATGATGAACAATATTTGGGTTTGATTTTCAGTTTTCTCTTGTCTGTTTGCATGATACAGTGTAGCCAAATCTCATTTCAGTGCTATTTATATGCTAGGTTTAGTATGTTCATGTCTGAATTACAAGCACGTTTTACTGAGAAACGTGGCGTTTCTCTGGAACACTGGAAATTCTGCCTTAGGATTGGCTTCCCATTCTGGGAAGTTCAAGATCCCTGTTCTCAAATATGTTTCATATAACAAGTAAAACCACCTGCTTCTTAAGTTATGTAGTTCTTCTCTATCAGGGTATCCCTTTACACTTGGTAAAAATATTAAAAGTTAAATTTTAAAGCAGTTTTCTGGCCTATAGTAATTTGCATTACTGTAAAAAAAAAAAAAAAAAAAAAAAAAAAGTGAAATAATTCTGTGGAAATAAATCCTGCTACTTATAAAATTCATTTAAAAGAAAATGAGGTAAAAAATACTCCCAGTAACTTCAAAGGTACAGGACCATTTCTGTATTGCTTCTTTGTGTTTCTTTTCTTGTCTTATTTTTTCAGTTCTGGATCTAATGCAGTGATCCTCAGTAGCTTGGTCTTGTGAAACCTCCCCTTGAACTGGAAAGTCATTTTTGTTTGAGAAGCTTACTAGGCAGTGCTTCATCTTACACTTGCAGCATGCAGAAAATGGTTTAAAATTGAAAGTGGAATTTTCAATTCTCAGCATATTCAGGCGATAGTAACCACTACTTCCACCTCTTGCAGGTGGTCAGTCTGCAGTAACATTGTTTCTGTGTATCAAAACACTTATTTCATTGAATTAGTACATTATATAATAGAATATGCTAAAAGCTGCAGTTGTAGCTGGAAATTACCAATGGCACCAAGTAAAAGGTGGACGTTTACAAAAAGTAACAGAAAAGCCTTAATTGCAAATCAATCAATGAAATAAAATGTATAAAATTTCATTAGGTTCCTTTCTGCCTTTTTAAAATGCTACAATATTAATAAACCCTGCAACTGAATAACAGCTTTCTGGAGCAGCAAAGGTGAATGTTATTTTATATATTACTCAGTTCATAAAGCTGAAAACATTTTGAGATGCTGGAGCTGTTTAAACTAATGCGTTTACATCTCAAAAGCATCTAAGCAATTTCACATATTTCTTTCATCTGCATCTTCCCTCCAGGACTGTTATCCTTGTGTTTGTTGTTTGTTATCCTTTCACCTAAATGATTTATTTTTTTCCTGCAGCAGCTTGCTTTCTCATACTTTGGGCTTTCATTATTGAAATAATGTCCTGAATACTCTGGTTGTGCTTGGTAAAGGCCCACACTTTTAACACTGTGCGGTATATTCTTGCAACAAACTTTCTTGTGGAGAAGTGTCAGATATTTCAGAGAAGTGTATGCCAGTTTATATGCAGACGTCAGACTTAGGTCCACTTCAAATATCAGAAGTGCCTCTTAAATGATGCTGATGCTTAAAGTACTGGATTCAACTGATGACTTGCAGTATTGAAGACAGATTATCATAACCCATCCATGTGGAATTTACAGTAATAAAAGTTTAAATTTTTTTCCTCTTTTAAATTTCTGACCCATCCTTATTCCCTGTTTTCTCTGGTAAACGGTTGAAAAAACTAAGTTCTTTAACAATGCAGTTGCCATTGCATTGCGATAATCATTGTCACCGTCATCACTGTGGACGTGGTACTTTCAGAACATGGTTTAGTGGTCATGGTAGTGTTGGGTTGATGGTTGGACATGATGAGCTTGGAGGTCTTTTCCAACCTTAATGATTCTATGATTGATTAAGTTTACAATAGTAAGTGGATTGCGTTATCGTATCTGAAGCTAAATTGTGCAAATCCATATGCATGTACAATCCAGCACAAATATTTCCAAGGGCTTTTACACTTCCATTTAACCCACAGATACATATTATTGTTTGAAGCCGCTGCTATGTCTTATTGGTTTGTTATACCCTTCTACAGGACTTCCAATAGAATCTGTAGAAGGGGACATGTGGATGTCTCGGGCACTTTATTGAACCTGAAAGAAGTTGAAGTTCAAAGTCTGGACTTTGCATCAAAATGGTTGAAACATTCACACGCTCCTGTTTTGCAGACTTCAGGGAGTAAGAGCTGGCATAAAGACAGATGTCAGCCACTTTACCTTTAGCTGCTGCAAGCTGATTCATTGGTACTCTGCTGGCAACATCTGAAGAATCAGTTGCTCTTTCTGTAGCCATTAATCATTTCTCTATCTGTAGTGCAGGTCTTTTGCCAAAGTAATGCCTTTAAATTTATTTTTGTTTTCTGACTTCCTATTTTCTGCTGCTTATTCTATATTTCTGTTCTTCAGCTTTTCAAATCCCCATATGCACAAGTATCTGGTATTATAATTTACAGAATACCACTTTAACAATAACAGTACTCCATCTTAAGACTATGAGCGTTCTCTGTTTTAGCCAAGCTAGGAGGCTTGAATAGACCTTTGTCAATGCAGAAGACTTTCCCAGTTTGCTTGGGAACACAAGAGAATTTTTTTCCAGCTCCTAGCTTTACTTCAGGGCACTTGACACACTTGCAATTTCCTTTGTGATACTGCCTCCTTAATGTTTGGATACCATATTTGTTTGCCACAGTAATGTCTCAAATGAAAAATAAAACTGAGAAACATATCGTAGAAGCTGTCTTGAACATAGATCATTGAAAGGTAGTATTTGCACAAAACAGATTAGGTAGCTTAAATCTTTCTCGTGTCCTATGAGCTTACCACATCATTTCATCAGGCTTCCTGTTTGTACCAGAGTAAATCAAAATTTGCTTAGGTAAATGTCTAAGGAAAAATCTTATATCTTTAAATAAAGAAGTTCATATGGTTACAGATATTTTAGGCTTATATTTAATAGGCATAACAATATGAATTCAACCTAGGTAATGGACAGGCTCTGAGCTCTTTCTTCTTTCTGTTAAGTGTTCATGCCTCTTGACAACTGGAGACCTGCCAGGAAAACCACTTGCAAGCATTGCATAGCACAGTTCAGGAGGGCAGGAACTCAATACCAAACTTCCTTGTGCTTATTATAAACACAAATGTGGCTGCTTAGCTAATTAAGACATTTATAGAGTCAGGATGGTTGTATAAACATTTGTAGCATCTATTGTATGAGACTATTTCTGTTTTCTTTGTTTCTCTACAAAAAAAAAAAAAAATCCAAATTCTAGGAAAACTGAAAATCTTTGTATGTAGGTTTCACTTGTATTGGTAGAGATAGGCTTTTAAGTATTATATGAGAAGCTTTGATTTGGCCTTTAAAAGGTGTTGTTTTTTTTCTCTTTTACTTTAGATTTGGTGTTAAAAAGAAACCAATTTACATAAATGTTGTAAGAGATCCTATAGAACGACTAGTCTCTTATTACTACTTCCTGCGCTTTGGAGATGATTACAGACCAGGGCTACGGAGGCGAAAACAGGGGGATAAAAAGGTGAAGTACACTTTATTATATATGTTGTTAATGTAAAAAATATTTTTAAAAAAGTCCTGATTAAAGCTGAATAGTTCTTGTATCAGCCTTGGTAGTGATAGTGGCTTTGTAAATTGTGTTCTCCCTTTCGTGTCTGTACTGGACTAGAGTATATACGTTTAGTGTGTCCTTTGTAACCTTATAAATTCACCTTATGTTGCAATTTGTTGTGTTGTGTTGTGTTTGGGGTTTGTTTGTTTGTTTGTTTAAAAAGTTTTCAAGTATCCAGAGTTGTAAGTATCAAGTTTGTCCTTCTGTATGAGAAATCTACACCTGAATGAGAGGAGGTAGCTGAGGGTTGACCTGAAAAGAGGTTGTAGTTGTCTGTTCTCCCAAGTAACAAGTGGGAGGACAAGAAGAAACAGCCTCAAGTTGTGCCAGGGGAAGTTTAAGTTGGCTCTTAAGAAAAATTTCTTCACAGAAAGAGTTGTAAAGCACTGGAGTAGTCTGCTTGGAGAAATGGCTTAACAGTTGCACTTAAGGATCTTTAAGGGTTCTTCCAACCAGAATGATTCTATGATCTCTTCTAGCTGAAGACTGACAGATATGGTTTTTGCCAAAAGCTGTAGAACTGTTGATGCTTTGGCTTTGGTTTGTGTGGGTGGCTTGTGGCTTTTTTTTTTTTTTTTAATTAGCAACCTAATTTATTTTATTATTTTTTAAAACGTAAATGTTGCAATGGAATTGTATAAAGAGTTTGCTTGAAAAGTATGGAATATTAATCATACCTATGAATAACTATACCATCTTCCATAACTATGAAATCTGAATCATTTTATACTTCCTCCAGTTCTCTTGGGTGGCTATAGGAGTAGTTCAGGTTAGCATATTCAACCCTTGATTACCAACACAGTTTCAGAATGGCAGCGTTGTTTAGGCTCCATACCATATTAATTCCAGAGAGAATTTATACATCCACTGTCATGGTTTACAGTAAGACATTTGTTGGAGTATTTGCTTTGGACTTTTCCAAAATCAGGAAGAAAAGTAGGGCATTAAGTATATTAACGGTGTGGAAGCTTTTATAAAAGTAAGGTGTTTTGTACTTTACAAATCCAAACACTTCTTAAAATTCTAGTGGCAATGTTGTCTCAAACTGCTTGAATTTTTCTGTAATGTTGACAGTTTAGTGTAGCACTGGGCAAATACCAAGAGGCATTTTAAAAATGACTAAGCACAAATCAAACTGAATACAACTTTGTCTGTAAACACTGTAACAACTAATGAACGTGACTAATCATTTTGTGTGCTTCCCCCATCCAAACAGCATGTTTTAAGTTTTGGGAACAGCCCATTCCTCTTTCCTTTCCAGTTGGTAACTAACTGCTCCTCCGTTATTTATGTTTTGGCGCCATCTTCAGCTACTGCATTTCGGCTGCTCCAGACATCCTACAGCAGAGCTAGAGGAACACTTCAACCAGAACAAATTGAAACTAAGCTTAAAAATTGCATCTTCATAGAACTGGCTACACAGGTAGTTTGGTGATATGGTATCATAAAGACATTTTTAAAAAGAGAGATAGCATCTTATGCTTTGTAACATACTCTATTCCTTTTTTATGAGGAGCATGATTTGGCCAGTGGAGTTCCTTTCTGGTGAAGATGGAGGAGCTGGGAAGCTGAGTGTGCTACCAAGTTCAAGCTCTTCTTCAAGCTCTTTATAGGACTTAATACTTATTAAAAGAATGGAATTTAACAGTGCTGGTTTAGTTTGAATTGTAATCTGAACAGCCTTGTTAGGAAGTCACTGGAAAACATTAAGCCAAAATCCTTAATGCTACTGCTTGGTAGACTACACTGTAAACTCCGATTAAATAGAAGAAGTTGCAATGCTTTCGTATTTGTACTGTTCGTAATGCATTGCATTAATGTTTTTGGTTTTTTTATTAAAGATGTTTTTTCTCATTTTGTCGCTGCCATACCTCTTTATTTGGATCTGAGATTTAGTTGCTGCCATACAGATTTTAACTTGTCCTGTATGTGTCTCTAGTTCATTTGAAGTGAAATTGATTTGCTATGCAAAGTTTCAGGGGCTCTTTTATTTAAATCATGTAATACTATTTTTCCATAGTGTTTCCAAGAAAACTGTACATATATAGGTGGTGTCAGTTTTACATAGAGCAGATATAAAATTCACTAAGCTTAAAACTGGATTGTGCCAATTGCAGTGTCCATAACACTGATACTTATTCTAATCTGTGTTATGGCAGATTCACCAAGAATTCTTCAGAGTTAAGAGAGTATCCAAAAGGCAATCTTCTAATGGAAATAATTTGGTTCCTTTATTAAATGGAAGGGCAGTTATAGGTAGCTTGGCTCCAAGAACAAAGTCTGTAAGACAAGGGTTTCCTATTGTAGAATCTCAGGATGGAGTAGTCAAGGTAAGCATACAAGAGGAAGTGGGGAAGGAGGCCTGTCCCATTTCATCTGACATAGAAAATTACTCATTTGCTTTTGTCTGTTAACTATAAAATAATGTGCAGGTATAAGCAAAGAAGCCTTTCTTTTGATAGATGCCAGTTAATATTTAGTATGTACATTCATAAGTTAGGAAGTGCACTAAAACAATTTAGTTCTTAGCTGATGTTCATGTTTTAAAGTATTCATGCTAGGTCAGTACAGGATTTCTCTAAAGGAAGCATGCCAACATCTTGTTTTCCAAGTTAAGTTGCATTTTTATCTGTGGTACATGACACGTATGAGCTATTCTGAACTTGAAGTGGAAAGTGGACCAAGACACCACAGGTTAATCCCTGCTTTGGCCTGGTATCAGTAAGTTTTTCAGATTATCTCAGGAACTTCACCTCAAAAAAGAAGCCAAGGATGTAGTCCTTGTTTTAACACTGAGTGATTAAGCAAATGTATTTTTACACAGTTTTGAACAGAAACTTGTAATTATAAAGAAGAAACAGTCTAAAGAGTTGTCTGTGATCAGTTGTTATGAAATAATTTTTAAAAAATCTGTCCTAGATACATGGCTTATATCTTGATTCCAGCATCGTAAGTATTACCTTCCTGGTGACTGGGTAGAATATTTACAAATTCTGTCCAGTGCAAATGGAGTTCTTATTGTAACTGTTACTGCAGTTGAGATGGTGTTGCTACAGCTGTCTGTCCACATACAGTGACGTTGTATAGAACAGTCTGTTATGCAGTAACAACTTGTTTTCACTTTTGATTGCCAAAACCAAACTAGCCACTGAAATGGCAGTTATTTGTCATAATATTTAAAATTTAATACAACATTGTTTAATCTAAAATACAAAATGCACAATGTTTTGTGGTATAAAGATATGGATGTTCCAGTATCACACAGGTCCTGATGGCATTTGATGCTGAATGTTTAGTAACTTCTTTTGTAAGCAAAAAACAATTATACCAACACTTATTGACTTTTTTTATTGTTTTGACATATGTCTATTATCAAGGTTATATCAAATGTATCAGGTAAGATCAATTTGTTCATTAATTCTAATCATAAAAGACTATCCAAGTATTATTTTGAGACAAACAGGTCGTCCTAATAACACTTTGAAAGCAAGGCCTGAAAAAAATTAACTTTTTTTTCTTTCACATCGTATCTTGTGGTTTTCTGTCCTACATTTAACAACTAACCAGGTTGAGATATTTGCTGTTTCTACTAGATTTGAAAGCCTAACTCAATTTTGTCTTTGTTCCAGACCTTTGATGAGTGTGTGGCAGCCGGAGGTTCAGACTGTGCTCCAGAGAAACTTTGGCTTCAAATTCCTTTCTTCTGTGGCCACAGCTCCGAATGCTGGTAGGGAGATAAACAAAGTTTAAGTTGTTAGTCAAGTATATTAACACTGAAATCTAGACTTAAACTTGCATTTGTATCACAGCTGGGGAAGGAGTGAGGGACCAGACAGAGTGAAGCAGCAGCTACTGTAGTAATGGATTTTACTTTGTAGATTAATTTTAATGAAACAGTCTTGCAGTTCTTGAAACAAGTAATACAGAAGTTAATAACAGAAGTGTTGCAAGGGAATACAGATGTTTTCAATTTTAAAAATAGTTTCTGTACATTTGGTGTCTCAACATTTTTCTCTTATGTGAGGCTACAATATCCATCTCTCTGAATTGAGATATTTTGTTCAAGCTTCTAGAGTTTCTGGGGAGAATAAAATAGTTGAGATCAGGGTAAATTTATCTTCTTAAAGTTTTACCAAACATGCAGTAGTCAGTGATACTTAACAAACCCAAACAAAAGCAAATAGTGTCCATCTGTCAATGCAGCATGTTTTATAACAATGGCACAGACTTAAAGAAAACAAATTAAAAAAAAAAAACAAACAACTATTTAGCAAATTAAAAAAAAAAAAAAAAGCTAAAAAAAAAAAAAAAAAACCCACAAACCAGGACACACATGATGTTTGTCAAATGTACTGTTCATCCAAACATAAGCAAACTGAATGGCCACTTGAGGGCTCTTTCATCCTCTTTCAGTGCCTTTTGGTCAGACCTATCTACACCTGGGCCAGGTGGAAAAGCAGAGAAAAAAAGATCTCTGAACCAATCTTTTCACCCTGTCTCGAGTTATAAAAAGGAGGAAAAAATGTAGGTTTACTTTCTGTTGTTCAGTAGGGAAGTCCTCCCATTAAGTGCAATGATGTTGTAGTTTGGAATTATGCTTGTAGGATGCCAAAGGGGAGATATATACTAGAACCACTTCTGCTATCTAATGTGAAACTGGAGACTGAGTATTGACATTGAGAAAGTGTAGATCCTCAAAAAATTGCATTAATAAAGACAGTAACCACATACTTTTTTTTTGTGGGCGAGTTATTAGTAAAAACACTAAAGGAGTCAATTTTAGAGAACATGGATGAAGTAAACTAAAGGGAAATTAAGTTAGGAGTGTTTATAACTTAAAATGAGTCTTGCCTTTCCTATACAAGTGTCCTGTTATGAAGTAATCTCCATCTAGGGACCAAGGATTGTTGGCTGACATCAGAACTTGCTGTAATTGTTCTCTGTCATTTTAGGAATGTGGGAAGCAGATGGGCTTTGGAACAAGCCAAATACAATCTGATTAATGAATACTTCCTAGTGGGAGTTACTGAAGAGCTTGAAGACTTCGTTATGTTATTGGAGGCAGCTTTGCCCCGGTTCTTCAGGGGTGCCACAGAACTGTACCGGACAGGTATTTAAATGGTTGATTGCCATGGATTCTTCATTCTCTTATCACTTTATCTAATGTGAATTCTTTAGAGCTAGATGAGTAGTTTTGAGTCTCTGCCAGGTTTGCCTCTCAGTTGGCTGATGTTTCTACATAAGAGACAAACTGTTTGAAAGGCTCCCAGTACAAATTTTTGAAGGCAGCCCACATATCTTCCTGCCTTACACAGTGTCTTCAACCCAACTTAAAATACTTATAGTTGTGTAGGTATACCCCACTGAAAAAATTGTGACAGGTGTTTATCAGAACATTTTTGTAAGGTCTTGAGGGGCTTCAGTTCTGTAAAATAGCTGGTAGTGGTAGATTTCCATTTCCTCAGAAGACCTGCTGAAATGAACAGTGCTTGGTGCAACCTGGTTGGCAGTGCAAAAAGACCTGAAGGTACAAATGCCCAAGTACATGTTCATCTTCATGGGATTGTAATAAGACATTTTTTACATAGCTAGTAGCTCAGCTTATAGGAGCTGGTCAGGTAATATATGATGAAGTAAAGGTCCATCATAGCAGGAATTCTGTAAAGAGAGGGAGAAAAGGGTCTGATGCATAGAGGCTAGCTGTGCAGTACTAACAAGTTTATTAGAAAGCATCAGATAGGACTTCTTAGGGAAAATGCTGTCATCGTTTTCATAGAATGGTTTGGGTTGGAAGTGACCTTAAAGGTCATCTGGTTCCAGCACCCACCACGGGCAGGGACACCTTCCACTAGACCAGGTTGCTCAAAGCCCTAGCCAGTCTGGTCTTGAAAACTTCCAAGAAGGAAACATCCACAACTTCTCTTGGCAACCTGCTCCAGTGCCTCATTCCCCTCACAACAGAGAGTTTCTTCCTAACAGCCAATGTAAATCTACCCTATTTCAGTTTAAAGCCATCACCCCATATCCTATTACTGTATATCCTAGTAAAACACCCCTCTCCATCTTGCTTTTAGGCCCCCTTTAGGTACTGGAAGGCTGCTGTAGGGTCTCCCTGAAGCCTTCTCTTTCCCTGAAGAAGCTTTGTATTCAGGCTGAATGACCCCAGCAGGTGCTCCAGCCCTCTGATCATCTGTATGGCCTTCCTCTGGACTTGCTCCAATAGGTCGTTATCCTTCCTGTGTTGGGGACCTCAGAGGTGTAAGACCTTGCACTTGGTGGTGTTGAACTTGATGAGGTTTGCACAGGCCTACCTCAAGCCTGCCAAGGTCCCCAGTTTTGGTTGTCTGTGTCTCATGAAAGAAGTATCTTGCTCTGCCGTTTTTAAAATTCTTAACATTTGATACCAGATTAACATCTAAATAATTAATTTTGAAAGACCAGTCTTGCTTCTAGTATATTATGTGGAGTAATCTTGTTCCTTAAATGAAGTGTTCATTCCTGGGTTTATTAAAGAGGAAGAATTGAAAGACCTAACGCAAAATTCATTAACATTTAGTGAGAGAGACTGTAATTTTCCAATGCCACATGTTATGTTATTAAATTCTGTCACATCTAATACAGTTTATCAACATGCTGAGAGTACAAAATTCTGTAAGTAAAAGGACTGTATAAGTTTTTTTAATCGCATGAACTTTAAAGTGAAGTTATTGCTTTCATTTTGCATTTAGGAAAGAAGTCTCATCTTAGGAAAACAACTGAGAAAAAACTTCCCACAAAAGAAACTATTGCCAAGCTACAACAGTCTGAAATCTGGAAAATGGAGAATGAGTTCTATGAATTTGCACTGGAGCAATTTCAGTTTGTCAGAGCACATGCAGTTCGGGAAAAAGATGGAGAATTGTATATTCTGGCTCAAAACTTTTTGTATGAAAAGATTTACCCTAAATCAAACTAAGAACATTTTACTGTTAGATTTATGGGTGTAAATCTTTGATCACATTGTCATCTTAGTCCTCAGCCATGGAAACCAGATTGCTCATAAACCTCCAGGACATATCTTTATAGATCTGAGAAAAGTGGGCTGTGGATCACCTCCAGGGTGTTGGATATTGGCTAACTATGTTGGTAATCCAGAAGCAAAGGCTTAATTTCTTTTATCTAATTTTTTCAGTGGGAGTTCATGTCCTTTACCTGAAGAAATCTACACTTTAATTTGGAGCAAATAATACACAACAGTTCTAATTGAAAATATAAACAAAAAGTGCTTCTGTTCATGCTGTTTTTAGTTTTCAGAACAATTTCTTTTCAGTGAGGAGGAAATACTTTTTCCACAGCTTTCAACATGGAAATTTTGGTTGTCTACAATATGAGTAGTGTTAATAACTGATTGACATCTGTACTTTGTTTTTGTGAATCATGTCACATGAGATTGATTGGGATGGTTAATCATCTTCTGCTGAGAAATGCTGCTGCTGCTGGAATTGCCCATATCTATATACGTGATTTTATTTAAAAATTGCAACCAATCATTAATGTTAAAATGTCATTTCCATGTTAATGTTGCAAAAAGTTAAAGAATCAGAGCAGTAGGTTTTTTGATTTTTATCCCCCCGCCACTGACTGGGGTTGGGGAAACTACAAAGGAAGTCGGTATTGTCTCTGGTTTTAGTTGATCCTTACACGATGGTATCAAAATTGTAAATTCAATATTAATTTTCTTCATGGATTCTTTGTAATAATTGTAAACTGAGCTATCGGTGAATCCATATTATGACTCCATTAGTGAGCTGTGGTATGGTTAGGGTTTTCCTACTACTTCGATACTTTTATCTGTAGAATATTTTTACTAAGGTGCTTTATAATGTGTTTTAAAGCATTGCATTTACAAAAGGAGTAAAATGCTGTAAATACTGCTTATTTTATGTATTTGGACCAAAAGGTTTAAAGTAACTAGTTTAAAGTGGGGTTTTTGCACCAGTTCTGTTATGTGTGGAGTGAAAAACATCACATCTGCTTCCTGGTTCAGTTAACTGTTGGACATAGCTGAAATGCACTTCAGTGACCTCTCTGTCTTCAATACCAGAACGTTGTCCAGGGATTCTCTTTACAGAAATGTAGTCTTAATCTTCTTATTATGATAAGAAAAGAAGAAGAAAAATGTCATTTGTAGTCTGGTTGGGAAAGATGCGGTGAACTTGATGGACATAATTGTATTTCTGTAACTGCCTTATGTGACTATTGTAAATTTGTGAGTTGCCATTATTAACAATGTGAAAAACCTGGTAGATGAAGTGAATTGAAATTTGAGAACAGATGCTTAGGGCCACTGCATTATAGCAAATGGTTGTGGAGAAGTACAAGAATTTGTTTCCTATTGAATTTTCTTAAAGATCTGAGTATTTACACATCTTACACCTGCCTTTCCTTTAAGTGCTTTTCCCAGGGTTTAATGGGGGAAGGCATGGAGGAGACAAAGTAAGGAATTGGTGGTAAAGGTTTAAATTCCTAAGGGATGATGCTGAAAGCTTAGTTTAAAATTACCAAGTGAAGGTTCTTTAACCAGCTTGTTCTTGTGATGAAAACAAAGGAAGTGGAAAATGTTCTGTGAACTGGATGTCTGCAGCCAAAAGCAACAGCCCAATTACAGAGAGGATAATGAGAGACTGTCAAGCATACCTTGCATTTCCTTTGTTTTCTTGGATTTTCCCCTTTGAATTTTAAAAATAGATCTCTTTGTTCTTCCCAAATAATCAGGGAAGTTCCTTCTGATAGCTTGCCATTTATATAGCATGAACCATGCATAAGATTTCCTGTTCTAGTTCTTGTTTATTGACGTCATTAATAATGGCAACATGCTTGGGAATAGGATGTGTTAGTTCATGCTCCTTAGCTAAAGAAAGGAACTGAAGAGTCATACAGAAGTAGTTGTTAATGGAAATCTAAAAATTTCCATAACAAAGTAGTAACTTTTTTAAAATAAAATGAATATTTATAACCCCAGGAAAGATCATCCACTCAGCAATAGGTTTATGTTAGATACTCTTTTGACAATGTTGGTTTTCTTCTGAATAATTTGGATCAGTTTACCTTTCTGACTCTCCTTAAGAATTTTCAGAAAAGCACCTCTAAGAGAGCAGAAGATTTTACTAAGTGAAAACAAAATACTAATTGAAGTAATGAAATGGGTGTGTAGACAAATGCTTCTGTATTAACAAGAAAAATACTTGTACTGATTTCAGCAGGGTCTGCAGAAACCTCTTCTATTCTGTAAACAATTTTAAAAGTTGTATTTCTTTTTTTTTTCCCTTCCAGGATTTAGAATTTCTTAATTATGACACTTCAGTAACAAAAATAAAAGAACAATGCAAATTTTTTTTAACTTAAAAGAGCAATATGTTTTTCATAGTTCATATAAGAAAACACATTTTATCCAATCAGATATCACTTCCTGTTCTTTGCTGTGAATGGACAGGGTTGACAAACCCAAGAATTTTAGGGATATGTTTTTGAAAGTGCTAGCTACAATTGGAGGGGTATTCATTCCAGATGTACTCTGAAGATGTTTGTGGAATACAGAAGGAATATGAGTGTGTCTACTTTTATATCTAGTGCAGCCATTAAGACAACTGTGAACTTTTTAGAATTCTTTGAATTTAGAACTATAAAACTTGAATTTCCTAAAAGAGAGTTTAGGATAGGGAGCTTTGCAGATTTTTAATAACCTGGTCTTTTCATCTTCTATTCAGAAATGAAAACAATCCAAATTGTTAGTATTAAGAATATTTTTCATTATATAAACAGAATGTATCTTGTGTATTTTCCCTGAATGACTTCTAGTGAGAAGCACCAATACATGTTTGGGTTTTTTTTGTTGTTGCAGGTTGTATGATCAGTAAACTCCCTGTGCAGCCTCCTGAACACGGACCTTTTAACTGAAGTCACTACAGTCTCTGCACAGGAATGAGAGAGGCTTTTTTCAGGTCTAAATTATTTGAAAGGTGCTGGAATGCTCATATATCTA